GTGTGTGTGTGTGTGTGTGTGTGTGTGTGTGTGTGTGTGTGTGTGTGTGTGTGTACATGTGTGCCTATGTGTGTGCCTGTGTGTGTGTGTGTGTGTGTGTGTGTGTGTGTACACAGCCGGGAGGATAAGCAGAAGATGTAGAAAGCAAGAAGTGGGTTGTCATCATGTAAGTGTGGCCCACTGGTTATTTTATTTTTAAGTTCACCGTTCTTGCTAAAGGAAAGAATGCCCTGATAAATGTTAAGTCTTAGCAGAAGAAATTTAACTGCAGTAGTGATGGTATAAATGATTCTGTTTTAATTAAAATCACAGAGTTAGAATAATAGGTAATAGATTCTCACGTTCTATGAACTCAGCAGGTGTCTGTCTTACGGATTCAATGACTTGGACAGTTCTCTGGTACTATTAGGACAATAAAGAATAAGCAAGAAATGCATTATTTCACTGAACCTATCATATAGTTAATTGGAAAACATTGAAAAAAAAAGTAGACCTAGTGGTTTGATAGAAAACATGAAAAACTAGACCTACTGGTTTGATAGAATGTTCAGTTTTTGACCAGCCATGCTGGCCATGGGTCAAGATGTAGTCACTGCACTGATTCCTATTAATCCTGGGATTACAATGGTCTATAATGGTGTTAGTCCCAGAAAAAAATTGAATAAGACTACTTAGCCCCTGGCTGCAATGGGCAGCTCAGGTCCAAAGTGGCTGCTGTTTGAGTCTGTATTCTAGGGGACTGGCAGGACCCTGGCACTTCACAACTGAATCACTTTGACCCAAAGTCATTTGTTCAATCATGGTTGACAAAAGGTAACAGAGACTTTCTACTGTTTGGAAAACAAATGGATCTCTTGGCTGTTTTCATAAAGATCGACGGGGACTTAAAATAGCCTGAGGTTAATATTATAAATCTTTCTAAAAGAGATTTTCAGAACATATTCTTTATCCTAGCATTGGATCAATCTCACAAAATGACATATTTTCAAACTACAGTAAAGCAAAACAACTTATTCCTGAAAAAGTTGAAAATACTAAAAAACCTTTTCCTTTACTGGCTTGTCTTTGTTTACTTGTTTTATTTATTCTCTTATTTCTGAACATCATTAACCAAAAAAAGAAATTGAACAAAAAAAGTGTGATAAATACAGATTCACTTTTCTCAATGTCCTTGTGATTATCCACCTAATCTTTTACTGCTGTCCAGAATGTTCCTTGGATGCCCACAGTGGTTAAGACCCTGTGAAAAACTATTGTAAGTTAGGCACTTTTAACGCTATATTAGAGAGGAAAAGAAAATTGGAAAAAAAAAATAAACAAACAGGATAGAATGAAAGAATGTTTTCTCTAATCTATATAAGCATAGAGACCTGCTATAAAAATCAACATCACTGGGAATGTTGATGATTAACTATTTCTGGCACTGTCCTACAGATGCTAAATAAACAAGAGGGGAGTTATTCATAAAAAGTAAGTTTTCATCTTTAGATAACATTTTATTTTAATATGATATAGGTGAGTATAAACTAAAATTGGAACAGCATGCATAGGGACAAGGAATTTAGAGAAGAATAAACACTATGGACAAACAGTGTAGATTACATCATATGTATAATACTCTTGGTAGATTTTACCAGTTGTACTTTATAAAACTCTAAAAAATTTACCCCTTTCCTCCATGCATTTCCCATGCAAAACTTATTGATGTTTTCCTATTGAAAATACTTAGGAAGCATGACTGCATTTTTAGTTGTAGCAGCATCATTTATTATTATAACCTCAAGATATGAACATTCAGATTGTCCTCTGAATAATCATCAACCATGAGTGGGTCATCCTTCTGATACCTCTCACAATGTCAAATTTCTTATTATTTGTGGTGTGTGTGTGTGTGTGTGTGTGTGTGTGTGTGTTCAGAGAAGATATATGGGAATTAACGCCTATCCCATGTGAACGGTAATTTGGACTGAAACCCAGGCTCCATCTCATTCCATTTGATTTTTGAAGACACTGTAACAGCTATAAAGATTCATTGGTTTAGAATTCTTTGTCTTTTAGCCAGACTGTCTGGCTAGGGGCCTGTATCATGAAAGAAGTCTGGAGGGTGTCTACATCAGCCACAACAACCTGGCCATAAGGACTTTGTTAGGGATGATAATCCTTCATAATTCTTGTTTTGAAAAAGAGAGCTTTGCCAAGAAAGCATTCTGAGACATAAACACTAAAATAAAGCCATTTTTAGTAAAAGCAATGAAAATAGAATGTTACATGCATGCGTGTTTATATACCTGCACTCATGTGAAAAAAATTATCAGTGCAAATATTTTTATCAAGTATGAGATATATATGTAAGAAAGTTAGAACATCAATTTAACTATAAGGATATGCATAGGAAACTTGGATCTAAATGGAAATGTAAACAAAGAGAAATTTGTTTTAATGTCACCAGTCTTATAGAATCATTAATAGTGAAAAGGAGTCACTTGGATCTGCAATACTTTATAACCAGTTATAGGGAAAATTATGTGAGAATAATATTATTTAGTTTTAACTTAAAAAAAAAGATTCTCCTGTCTAAATATCTACGAGAATTGTTCTTTCTTTTCTTGCTATCATATACATTTTTATACTTTCTATTATAAGGTCAATGGAAGGAGTTTTGTTGTTGTCATTGTTGTTGTTTAACCAAAATGTTATTGACTCTAGCACAGGGTAAGGAGAGGAGGGTCATCTGATCTTTCAGTTCTTTGAATCAAGGCTGTCTTTGGGTAAATCAGACCTTGATTTCCTATTCTGTCTCTCTTCTGCAACTTCCAAGATTTTTAAAGTTGAACCTTTCTCAGTTTCAATTTTCACTTCTGTAAGATGAGGTAATTGAGTGCACTGGTCTCTAAAATTATACCTAATATTTAAAGAGAAAAATAAAAAGAGAATAAGATGATCAAAAAGTTGGATGCTGAAGAATATTTGAATATCCTTGCTTCATGGTCTGGTAGGGAAAGACGCCATTTGTCATTCACAGATCAGGTGCTGCAGAAAATTCAGTGGCAAGGTAGGAAGTACAGCTCAGAGCTCTGAGACCAATGCGCACTCATTGTTATGTAATTTTTCTTTGGTGCCAGGTGGGTGCACTGTTTGCAAGGAATTCATACTTCAGAAATACAGCAGTTCACACCCAGACAAAGGGTTTGGTTGGGATGTCTTTGTTCGGGGAACAATTAAAATGTATTTGTACAAAGTGACAAAACCTTCCCTGAGTGTAAGGCACTACTGCAAAGCACAATGGGGTGGTTGAATTTTTCAGGTAATAATGCAAAACTATTCTCCAGCATATGCCAATTATTATAGAACTAAGGCAATGGGGGCGAAAAGGGAGAAGAATTAGAAGAGCAGCCTAAGTCTTCATCAAGTGGCCAAATGTTAAATATATTGCAGTTTTTTAACTCCATCTGGAATTTGGGATTTATTGAATTGTGTGGGATAAAAGAAAGAACATATGATTTATCATTGGAGAAATACGTTGTTGATCCCAGAAGTCTCTTGGTCAAATGCTCTCCTTGGAAGAAGTTGGAACCCTATTTCTTAGTTCATTTCCAAAGAGGTTTCACAAAACCAAAGTTTCTGGACGAAAATGGCTCTTAATTATGTATTCTCTTTTTACTGGTAACTTTTGTCCTAAGAGTGGGTTGCTGATTTCCAGACACCTAAAACTAGTATGAAGAGAAAGGACTGAGTTTCCTAAATTTGCGTCATCCAGCTAACATGAGATGAAGTTTTCTTGAATGGGAAGCTCAGGCTTCTTAGAGCAGCATACTTAGAGCAGCATAAGACAAAGTAAAATTTATCTTATGCTGCTCTAAGTATGTCCTGAAACATAAGGGTTTTGGAAGAAATTTCTATGTTTGACTTCCAACATGATTTCTGTTTGTCAGAAGGCTGTATCCTTTTGTGACTTGAACTTTGCTCATTGTTTGAAAAAACAGTTCAGCCACAGCCATATTCTGTTTTCTTCAGAGCAAATTTTGCAATATCATCAGTGATAGGAGTCACTGAATGCTCACCCACACCAGATCATCTCTCATCCAGAAAGAGAAAATCAATTTTAATTTTTCAAAGAGGAGCAGCAAGTGGTATTTGCTATTTATATTTAAAGAAGGATCATTAAACACTTCTTTGGTTTCTTCCCTTCCTTGGAGCTCAAAGCAGGGAATGTTCAGAAAACAAATGGATGTGGATTAAACATGCAAATAGCTTTGGCACTTTGATAATAATCCTGAATTAAGAGTTGGTTTAGTGGCAAAGTCAGAAGGTCATACCACTCACTTGAGATCTGTATTTTGGCTTATATTTTTATGTAATAAGTTTAGCTTTCACACAGAGGAACATTTTGTTCACAGTCAAGTTATCTTGGAAATGGCACTTTCAGCAGTGAAAATTCAGGTACATTAACTACTTAGGTATATTCAGTTAT